CCAGTATACTCATACACATACTGACTTAAGCATCGGAGGCTCTTCACCGGATCCAACCCCCGGTGTGAGAGTTATTTGCAGGTTCTCGGCGTTCTACCGGCAAGGACAAAATTCGATCTACTCCAAACCGGACCCGGACGCTTACACTTGCATTACATAAATATAACATATAATACTCAATATTTAAAACGTAATACAATTATCTAACTTATAATTTTAATATTATATGCATATTACTAATTCATTATACTTTATTTATATATGTTCATTTGCACAGAGTCGAATACTAGTTTATCTTAATTAATCCCAATTATTTAAAATTTTAATTTATAGATTTACAACATATTAATTAACTACCATAATTACCTATAAACTAATTATATTAATTATTCATAACTAATTAATGTATCTTTTATTAAGTAATATCTACCTTAAACCCTAAATCCTATTTATTTTATTATTGTTACTAAAATAATATTTAATTTTCATAACTAAGTACGAACTTATGAAGTAATAATTATATTTTATAACTAGTTAAATCATTTTCTTATTCATACATAATTTTCTTCTAGAATATCATGATTTGTAGTTGTAGTATGATACATATCTAATATCATAAGTTGTAGTATCTATTGTGAGATGATTTGGCCAACATAGCAAGGAATATCAAATCAATTGGGGCCTCATTTTTTTTTAGTACTTTTTATTTAAACATTTTAGGGAATTTTAATAACAAAATGAAAAATACAATTAAGATCATTTATTAAGAAAATATTTATATTTTAATTTTTTATAATTTATTGAAGATTGATCTGCTGGTTGGTTGATTTCAATTGAATTAATTTCTTGTGCCATGATACTATTTTTCGAATATATAATTATGTCTATCAATTGTTTATAAAATGATCTGAAGAAAGAAGTTTAATTTATTTATTATTATTAATTTGTGTTGAGTATTTATCTCTTTATACTTATTTAATTTCACTATAACATTGATATTATATTGTTATTTAATTTGTAATTTATTTTTATTCCAATCAAATTTAAAAAAAAAAAGAAATTATTAACTCATTTATTTTTTTATCACGACTGAAATATATTTAATCCTTTTCTTTATTTTCTATAGTTTCCTTTTTATTTTATTTTTATCTTGGTTAATTTCGATCAGAACAAGTTATTATATTATTCAGAAATTCATCTAATTTATACATATGATATGACAAGTGCGTCTAGGTTTTTACTAAAATTTTAATTCAGGTTAAGTTGTTTCTTGGTCATCAACTCCAACTAATTTCCAATAATGAAATTAATAATAATTACATAAAGTTTGGCAACCATTGACCTTATTTTTGTTGGGTTAGGTAAAATAATGCATCCTTTGGGAAATAAAAATATGATAATAAAATGATTATTTCAATGTTAGAAAAAAAACCATATAATTCAATTTTAAATCAACTTCACTGCTTTCAATATTATCATTATAACTAAATAATATCAATCAATCATTCTTAGAGCATCTCCAATGTGACTTTTGACAATATAAAAATTCATCCATATCATCAACTTTTGAAAGTGTGTTATTAAATTGTTCTCCAATGCATCTTGTCATGAGCTCTTTCATGATGAGGTGGATAGCATTTAATGTTGACAATGTTGAGTACACTTTCTAATATCTAACACCATGTTAAACATGATGTCTAATTAATTTACTTTACATTTGATTTAATTTTTTTTATTTTTCTTGTATTAATGATTATTTTTATTGGTCCACCTATACAAATAACTTCTTATCAAATTGATGCATTGGAGATACAAGTTTGATTCAAATTTCTACTCTTCTAACATTATTCCTACAATCATTGATTGACATGTGTTCAAAATAATTAGTTTTCAAAGTCATAGCATTGGAGATGCTCTTACACGTCACATCAATTTTAATTCACTATACATGCACTCACATTTAACTAACCATCAATTCCAATCAATTTTTTTCTACTTTTACATCAAATCAGTTTTAATTATTTTACGTTTAAATATTATTTTAATATACTCACCAATAACTAACTGTACCACAATTTTCAAAATTAACTATGATTAAAGAAACAATCAAAAAACCAATCAAATCCATATCCAAGCACACCCACCAATAACTAACTGTACCACAATTTTCAAAATTAACTATGATTAAAGAAACAATCAAAAAACCAATCAAATCCATATCCAAGCACACCCAGAGCAACGCAGCTACAAAAATCTTCCAACTGTGACTACAAAATCATGTTAAAACAACACACAATGACACACAACAACAATAACAACAACAACAACAACACATGCATGTTCAACCTAGCAGAAACATTGTTAAAGTGAGAACAGATTCCCAAGTCATAATATCAGAACAAACAAAGATCACAGGCATAGAATCATTATAGAAATCTTGTCAAATTCATATATGCATGTCACAAATTCTTGTGTGTAGTGGCATAACAGTTAGGTGGGTCGACCCGTTCACTGTAAGAACAAAAATGCATATATTTATACTACTAGATGTCATACTTTTGGTTTATATATATGACATATTCTAATGAGAATATGCATATCTGTGAAACAAGAATGCCGGCCGAACTGTTAGACTGGCCGACCTGTCTGAACAAACCAAATCACCATTGTTGAGTACAAGCTTAAAATAACCCAATCTTGGAAGCATTTTCCAGTTCAATAAGCTTGTAAAGCTGATAACTTGTGATAAGGAATAAATTTCTCTAAAGTTATTTACAGACTTCGGCTCGACAATAGTTCTTTCAACCTCCATCCATTATTAAACACATCCAATTCTCAAAGTCCGCTTAATATTTAAACAAGCACAAAACAGTAATTTGTGCAGCTCGACTCAAATCAGCGCGCACCCAGGTAAACATTCATGAACTCGACATTAAATAGTGAATATCAACAATCCAATCAAGCTTCTGACAATATGAATGCAGCAAGGAAATGCCTTTTTCCAGTCAGTATAATAATCGTATCGTATACAAGAGACCACTATTTGAAATGCGTATAAGAATAAAACACAAAATTCCAGTTTCTCAATCATGGAAAAATGAATTACAGAACATACCAATTCTTCATCTATTACATGAATTCATTAAAAACTCACTTTTGGCGTGCGGGCTCATTGCACTCGTTGCGGTAAATTTCCTGCACTTTTCCGACAAAACGGCTTAATGAACGCAAACAATCTCACAAAAAAAGTCGAGCCTTTTGCAATATTTTCAAACGATTCAACCAAACCACAAGGAGGCCATCAAGAATCGTTTTCTATGCTAAAAATATTCCCAACCACACCAAGAACACTAACTATAACCGCCAGAGTCAACATCAGCCAAGACAAGTATCTCTCCACACAACTCAACAAGTTTCCCTCTTTACCTAACCTTAATGCAATCAAAGACGGAAAAGTAAAACCCAAGGAGACAGCTGTTGTTGCCCCCGTAAACTTAAAAGCCGTCCAGATGTTAGGAACCATGGTCGATCCGAAATATATAAGCCCCAAAAGCACAAAAGTCAAAACCAAACACCTCTTCCTACTCTCTGGGAGGGGATTCAATCCTTCAAAAATCAAATTATCCACTGTCTGTCTCAAGGAGAAATGGATCACAGGAAAAACCAAAACCAAATGAAAAACGTAGCCAATTCGAACTATATAGTCCAAAGCCGAGCTAAACGAGATGCCTAGATCCCTATCAAAGTTGGTAAGCACATCCGATTCGGTATCTTTCCCAAAGAGCAAGTATCCAGCAACGGCAGTCGAAGCATATACCAAAACACAAATAATAGTCGTTATTCGCCCCACTTGGCACATTTTCTGAGGTGAAGGGCTTTCGAGCTCGTTATAAATTGGCTGAACGTTAAAATGGCACACATAAGCATTAGACATGATAGGAATAACCACAAGGAAATCAAGAAGAGCCGTTTTGGACCCGAAATCAGGTGACATCCTTGGGGGCTCAATTTTCCCCTCGACCAGCTTGATGAAAGCCACAACAAACACGACAATAACGAAAACGACCGCGAGCGCCACAGAGGCAGCCGAGGTCCCACTCAGGGAGTCAATTTTGTCCAATGAGCACAAAGGTGCAAGAAAAAGCACCAAAACCACTAAAATCAGCACTTTCCGATGATCCCAAAACCCATGATGGCCAAACCACTGGTCGAAAACGCCCATGTGATGAAGGGATCCCGACATAACATCGCCGATTATAATCAAGTAAACGACTAAAACTCCAGCATTATTAACAATGATGCAAATTTCAGACAAAACCCTAGCAGTTCTGCCCAATGCAGTCTGCACAACCTCCCCGTATGAAGCCGCTTTGCACTGGACCGCAAATCGGACTAATAACTCGACGCTGATTTCAGATAAAATCCCCATCAAAAAAATCAAAGTCACTCCCAAGACAAGGCCCAGGACTTTCATTGTGGCCGGAAGGGCCATGATGCCCGCCCCAATAATTGAGGTCGTTAGGTTGAAAACGGCACCGTATAATCCCGACCCCGATTTTCTTTCACCAAAGATTAGGGGTAAATCGTCCAAATCGAGGCCATCTTCGGCATCTAAATCTTCTACATTTTGCAAATTCGAGGCCCCGTCTGTGTGATCGGGTGAGATTAATCTCGAATATGGGTTTCTGGATCGATGGTACCCATCTAATACGTCTAATTTCGAATAACTGCTGTCCATTTCTGTTTCTAGCTAGGTATATGCACGCTACATACAGAAAAATTCAGAGCTCCAAAACGAATGAGAGGGTAAGGGAACAGAGAGACTTACACAAGGGATTCCTGGGGTTGAAACGAGGAGATTTGTTCTGATAGGGAAGCTCAAGATGTCAATGGCTGACTTCTTTTTATATTTTTTTTTTTTAGTTCCTTCCGCCAGAAATAAAAAATAGTACGAGGAGCACAGTTTTTTGGGTTTTCTTCTGCGACGTTTCTATTGGTATTTGGTGGAATTTGCCGAAATTGACTCTTCCTTCGAAGTAGGGCTATAAATGAGCCGAGCCGAGCCGAGCTCGAGTTTTAAGGTGTTTGAACTCGAGCTCGAGCTCTTAACGAGCCGAGCTCGGCCGTTAAGTAAACGAGCTAAAAATCGAGCTCGAGACCGGCTCATTAAGGCCTCGAGCTCGAGCCTTAATGAGCTGATCTCGAGCTTTAACGAGTTGAACTAAAAAAATTTACATAATTTTCACTTTTCGAGCATTAACGAGCCTTATCGAGCCGAGCCGAGCTCGGCTCGTTAACCAAACGAGCTTTAAACGAGCTCGAGCTCAGGTCGTTAAGGCTTCGAACTCGGGCCGAACCGAGGCGAGTCGAGGCAGGCTCGTTTAATTTAACAGCACTACTTAGAAGTTAGATCACACTCATTAAATTTAATAGCAGTCATCTATATTTATATAATAAAGTATCATATTTATCAAATTTAGTAGGTTGAAAAGTCAACGTCATGAATGCATTGTTATTTCAATCCAGAATTTTACTAGTGCGTAGCCCCGTGCGATGCACGGATAATTATATTAAATAATAATTATAAATAGGTCTCGAGTTCAAGTGGTGGGAACTATTATCCTATTTTAAAAGAGTAAAAAAAAATTATAAATTAAAGATGTGGGGTTAACATGTGATATAATTTACCGTCGTATATCAGTTTAATAATTATAAATAGGTCTCGAGTTCGAGTGGTGGGGTTAACATATGATATAATTGACCGTCGTATATCAGTTTATTATCAACAATATAAAATTAACTTGTATAAGAGAACATAGAGTCTGCATGTTTAGAATACTAAAAACATGTAAATGTATGTAAAAGTTTATGTATTATTATTAAAAGATGTGAAGTCACCTACAATTTTTTTAAATTATTTTGGAAATAAAACATGTTTAAAAACATTTAAATTTTATATTTTATGAAAGATGTTTGCTAAACTCTGTTGTAAAGAAAACATGTTTAAAAATATTTAAATTAAATATGTGTATATATATATATGTATATGTATATATAGATATAATATGACATGATAAAATATTATATAAAAGTATCTACAATATCATAAGCCTAAATAAAAACATTATATATTTTTTAGAGAAAATTTACCACTTATATATAAAATAAATAATGAATTATACCGAGAATTATGACGGTATTTCTTATTATTTTTTAATAAGTTGTTACCGTTAAATAAAATTGTACGCATAACAATTCCACGTTTTATGCAGATTTATTAATTTTACAAATAAAATGTAAAAAATAAAATGGAATTTTATATATAAGTGATATTAATACAAAAATTGAAGACAATATTTAAATCTGCATTTTTTGTATTACCTTTTTATTATGTGCATTTAATATTTTTGGAAGAGAAATATTTTCTTATTCTCGTTAAAAAAATTATGTTACATAATTTTGTTAAAAAAAATATGTTAGAGTGGATACCTAAGAGATCAGATTTTTTAAATTTACCGAGCAATGGTATTTCTGTAAGATTACCATGAGATTTTTTAGACTGTTATACATCAATGGGTTTTTTTGTACAGTCTTTAATGTGTATGGAACCAAAAGCCGATATTTATGTGATGGGATTCTGTAAAATTACCTTGAGATTTTTTAGGCGGGTATACGTTAATGAGATTTTTTTTTGTACGATCTTTAATGGTGTATAGAACAAAGTCTAATATTTTAGGTTTTTTAATTAATGATAGAAACTTATATATATGATGAGAATAGTATAAATATGATGAAGAGAAAAAAAAAAAAAAAACTTACAGCTTGCGCAGGACATTCTGGGATAGAAGAATGAAGTATATAGATTACAGCACGAATAAAATATATTGTTTGATTTGGATGAGTTTTAAGGACTTTGAAGAAAGGAAAACTCTTATTTGGTTTGACTAAAAATCTCTCCTCAATTCACATGTGATTTGTTTTAAATATGGTATAAATAATATGTACTTAACTTATTTAAAAAAAAAATCTTTTAATAACAAATTATATCTTTTTAAATAAAAAAAAAATTAAAATATATGTATAACCAGTTGGAAGATTAAATTGTTATAGTTTTTTTTTCTTTTAAATCTCTCGTGATTTCACATTGTTTGGAAGATTCAACTTACTTACAATCATAGTTGACGTTATTCTTTTTTAGATTTTTTTGTAAGATAGAAATGTTGCATTCGAATGTATCCATATGGACGATATTGTTGCATTTTGAACAGTAAGTCAATAAGAATTCTTATTTTAAACTCTTTGGCATAAATTTCGCAACAACAATTAAAGAGGTATAATTAAGGAAACCACGTTGCAACCGATTTTGAAGATATAATTACGGAACCAACAATTAAAGAGCCATTTTTTTTTTTTTTGCCTATTCACAATTACCCAAAAATTACTATATATAGGATATAATTGATGATTTAGCGAGAAACACTTGCTAAATTTATAAAATGGTAAATCTTTATATATATATATATAGATTTATTTATTTTATTTATTTGTCTTATATCCCATAAAATGAGTTTAAGAAAAAGAAAATCTCATAACATCTGATAAGTAAAAAAAAGGACGTAAAATCTTTACTAATATAAAAAAATGCTTTATTTATTTGTCTTATTCCATATTAACATCGATTTTGTCAAAACAGCCCATAAAATCGGTGAAGTCAAAATTTATACGTAAAGTCTATCTATATTAAAGAAAAAAGGTAGGTTCGAAATTCCTTATCTAAATCTTTCTTTTCCTTAACTAATTCTTTCTTATTATCTAATTGTATGGAAATTTGTTCTGATTTTGTTCAATCATCTAATTGTTTATATCCCATAAAATCGGTTTAACAAAAAAAACCCCATAACATCCGATAAGTAAAAAAAAATACGTAAAATCTTTACTAAAATTAAAAAATCTTTATTTATTATGTAATTGTATGGAAATCTGTTCTGATTTTGTGCAAACCGATTTCTGTATATTCAGATTCAGATTTTCTAATAAAAATATTAACAACAATATATATCTCCTCTACTATTATAAATTAAAAATCTCAAAATATCTAGCCATCATCTTTCTCATTGTCAACCTCCTGCGAACAAAAAATATCCTCAATAAATCTTTTATTCAAAACAATGAATCAAGGATTTGGGTTAATCAAACAAGTAAATAGATCTAATAGACCTATGCTCAAAGTTTGAATTGTGAGAATGTTTTTCCAGGACTGGGGCACCACATACAAATCATATCTCGAGTTGATTCTGCACGATAAAACTGTAAGCTAAATTATTTGAATTTTTGTTTTAATTTCGAAATTTGAAATGTATATTTTAATTTTTTTTATTTTCGTGTATGTATTTAGATATTTTTGTACATGTTTAGTGAAATATATTTTGGATTATTTTTTAAATTATATTTTCAAATTTGCAATTTAGCTTATTTATTCTACACATCGTGTATGTATTTAGATATTTATATTATTTATATTTATTTCCGTGTATTGCAAAACTTCTATTGAATATTGCATCTTATAGTATAATAATCCCCAAATAAATATATCTTGTGTCTCGCACAGGTCACGCAATATATATATATTCTGTATATTTTTCTTTATTCATTTATATAATTATAAAGCTGGATAAATGGCCTTAAAATTGTGCACCTCGTGCATCGCATGGGCTCTGTACTAGTTTGTCACTAAATCCTCATCCACAAATCTGTAGTGGACCCTTAGCTTGATTTGTATGAACTTACTGTAATTGTAGATATAGTGAATTGGGGAGGAACAAAGAGTTTAGAGAGAAATGTAGAGAGAGAAATGACAATTTTCTGCTTGCCTTTTCATTCGTCACGCACACTCCTATGTACAGTGTCATGGGACCCACTGTTAACAAACTATTCTCCACACATTTACTCTTCTACTAGAAAAGTAAAACTAAAATATAATCAAATAAAAGATGCTAAGTAGACGGTCATGATGTTTAATTTAATTTCTCGATCCAACGTCTTCACTTTGGCCACGTGTCGCTTCCTGGTCAACACCCTTGTTAGCATCAAAACCCGATTTCTCATCTTCATTTTCCAATTTTCCTTTGGCCTGAACTCTAGGTGTCCCAAATTCCATCAGATCTTCAACAATTTCATCGAGATCACTTTGATTCATTACAATACTGCCCCCTTTTGAGATCCTTGTCCCCAAGGATCAAACTTTGGAAATCTGCAACGTAAAAAGGTGTCATCTTCCCAAGTAGCGGTTGACGTATTAGTCGAAAACCATTGGACCAGAGTTTGAGAGACGGGTTGCGCTTTCTGGTGGATCTGGATGATCGAGGGCCTGCAGAGGATAAGCCAGAAAATGGTCGTCGCCGTTAACTGGTGGGGACTCACTGGAAGCAGATTCTGGAGACTTCACCGGGAAGGTCTAACCGGTAAGCTACTGCACTGATTTTAGCTAGAATTTTATATGGTCCAAAAAAATGGGCAGATAGTTTAATATTCTTGCGAAGGGCGACTGAGTTCTGCAGAAAAGGTTGCAACTTGAGGTAAACCCAGTCGCCAACATCGAAATTCTTGTCACACCGACCCTTGTCGGCATATTGTTTCATTTTGTTCTGTGCCTGAAGTAGAGTTCATTAAGATCTTGCATGATGTGTTGTCGTTGTTGAATGATATCAGAAGCATCTGAATTAGATGATTGCATATAGG